TGAACCAGAAATCAAAGGGTATCCTTCTGGAGGGTAAAGTGGTACCTATGAAGCTTTGCTGAAGTGTTGATTTTGGAGTTATAACTAGGAGCTAAAAACTTGGTGAAAATAAATAGTGAGCAGAGATATAAATATTAGCATAAATGAATGAACTAAAAAACTAGAAGGGTAGGTGTGACAGGAAAGATCTGTGCATTTCTCTGAGACTGTACACCCCAATCCTCTCTCCAGGTAAACTTAGATATTCCAAATGCCCTACAAGGCTTACTCATCTTCCAAGTGCTGGTGCCTCACCCTTCATCTTTCTCCTGCCCTGGGACAAGGGGGAATACCTTGTTGCTTCCAGACATTTTTTCTCTGAGAAAGCCCAACACACATACCTTTTTCTACAACACAGAGACCACAGAGAAACCACAGTCAGTAGAAACAGGAATATCCATTCCGAAAATCATGTTGCTTTCCTTTCTAGCCCACCTGTAGGGGACAGATGCAGGAACAAGTTACTGCTCTGAGATTTTCGAGGCTGAAAGCTTGAAACAAGCAGGGCAGAGGCTTCTGGGTCTGGGCTGTTGGTGCTTAGCGTGCTACTCAGCAAGGTGAGAGGCTTTGGCATCATCTTCTGGCACCTGCTGGCCCCCCTCAGAGGGGGTTTCTTACATAGGAACCAGCTCTCATTCTTGAACAATGAGATGCCTCCAAAAAAGTTAGATAGCTGCAGTGAAGCAAGTGTCATGAATCCTTGTGCCGTTTATACTTGAGCAAGTGAGTAAAGGTCATTTGTTGGTCTAACAACTGGTATCTGTCAAGAATATTAGAGCAACAGCAAAATATGCAAACCCAACTAATAACAGGATGTTGCTACTTAGAAATTTTTCACAAGGCAGCATTTTCCTCTTTGTGATCGGGTTTTCTAAACAGCTTCAGACAATACATGCGTTAATATTATTTTCAGAACAGGTTGCCAAGAATGCAAAGCATTCAAAGAGTTGTTTTTGAGAGAGGGAGAATTTGTATTTTGGAAGAGAGAGAGGATTCACATCTCTTCAATATATCCTGCACTTGCACCTTCTCTGCATGATTAACAATACCATCGGCTCTGCAGACTTGTGAGAGTGCTCAGCATGTAAAACAGAACATAACCAAAACAGTAAAAGTACCATATGAGTTTGGTATCAGAGAAAGAGAGACCTAGTAACTGAATGTCTTATGTCAGGGTACCAGCTTCTGTTGCAGATATGCAGCTGGCTCGTTTGGTACCATCGGGTAAGCTGCCTACCTTCCACATCATTGATAGCCAACAATAAAGTTATGGCTCAGTATCACCAAGATCCTGAAAAAGTACTCTCTGTCTTCTAAGATTCCCCCCTAATTTTTTACTAGGAAGTTAGCCAGAAATCTTGAAAATTAGCTTGCAAAGGAGGGCAGTGAAAACTCAAAGTGGATTCTTCTCTTTTCCCTAAAGGAAACGCAGCAGTATGTAAGGCAACTACAATGGAGAATAGAAATGTTGAGCTACAGATAAGCTGACGCAAAAGAGCAAGATTAAGGCAGTCAAAACAGATCTTCAGTCTAAGCTGCTGGTTCTTGAAACGCAGACACAAATCAGAAAGAACTCTTCTGCCAAGTCAAATGACTGGGGAATAGACACACAGTGCGATCTGCAAAATCTGGCATTATACAGAATCATGGAGGAAAAAAAAAAACAAACAACAAAATAAATTGAAGGACACCCTACAATCAGAGAGCAGTATTCTCACCCCAAAGCTTGGTCTCCATTTGCATGCTGACCAGTTGCAGATTTCTCAAATGCTAAGTTAAAAATTTGTGATATTGAAAAGAAATCTTTATTTATATATTTTGTTTCTGAGCCTTTAAAGGTTTAACTCATCTCATTTTCCAACATGAGAGGTACAAATGGAATACTTGAAAAAAACCTCAAGATAACAACAAATTTTTCTAGCAAATTGTGAAACAATATTTCACCTACTGGAGCAGAAAATTTTGAGATATCTTCCCAAAGCAAAAAAATTAGTTAGTTATTATAGGAAGACAAAAAGAAGTTTAAAGATTAAAGTGTTTTTGCAATTAGAACCTGAAAAAAACAGATACCCAAAGATACATTAAAAGATAATTAACAAATTTGACCAATTTAAGCATAGAAAAAGTATGAATTTACAGATATAGAATGCAATAGAATCAATCAGGTGAAATTGTTTTAATTCACCTCAGAAAAAAATGTTTAAAGTCACATACTTCTCATAAAGTGAAGTTGTTTAAGAGCTTTACATAAAAAAATGTTACAGGCACATCATATCGTACAGCTAAGTCACAAAACATTGTGTAACATGAGTACCACAAAACACAAACTTTAACTCTTACCTTAACAAAGCAATAGAGTGCATTTGCAGTTGCAATTTATAGTACTTCCATAAAATCAGAAGAAAGGGTCCTCCCTAGCTTATGACATTGCCTTGTACAAGAACGGAGAAGCAGTTGCCTCTTCTCCTTCATTTGTTTGTCGGGTTTGGAGGTTTTGTGGGAGATGATTTCAACTCCCTGCAATCACAAGGTCTAGAGATCACAGAATGTTAGGGCTTGGAAGGGACCTCAGAAGATCATCTAGTCCAACCATCACTGTCACTGCTTCCCACCTGTAAAGTCAATGAGGGTTTCACTATAGCTGACTGAGAAAAAAATAAAATAGTAAGAGACAATGCTATTTATTTCCTGCTCCCGTTAGTAGAAATAACAGCAGAGGTTTCTGGCAGAGCTGTTAATGCTCATGTCTGAGGCCATGCCTTACCAAAGCTCCCAGATGCCACGCTGCCACCTGCTGGCATCCAGGATGCTGCCTCCAGATGAGCTTCTGCTACTCCAGCACCGTTTGACCATCCTGCTGCCAGCCAAGAACCAGATGACAATTCCATTTTCTTCAGCATTTCTCAAGTAACAAGACAGTGTTGATAGCAAATGTTCAACAACAGGCTGTCAATGCTGTACCTGCCTGTTCCAAAACTCTCGATTTGGGGATCACTCAGTCACCTCTCATTTGGAGAGAAAATGCAAGGAGGGTGCACAAAGAAGGCACTGAGAGGAGCTATCCAGAAAAGCAACTGTGCAGTAATGTCTCCCCCACCCTCATGAAGCTGCCACCTATTACCAAGTACAGCATAGGCACGGATCTTGGGGACCAAGGACCTGCCACAGGAGGGACAGCTGGGAACTGCATGCCCTCTACTTCCTACTCAGAGAAATGACCCCTTTTCCACGCAGCTTCAGGGAAATGAAGTGGCATATTTTGCTTTTCTCAAGGAGTTTTAACTCCCTTCTCTTCAACACCTCTGCAGATTAAGTTACATGTAGAGGTGCTACCCATGGCCTCCCCTTCCCACCCATCTGCCACAGCAGGGAAAGCAGAGGAGCCCAGACCTCCCATCCCCGCACGCTTGCAGGCACAACACCCAAGCAGAGGCCAATTTGGCAAGATAAGTTGTGATCTCAGCCGTTTTGAGCATTTGGCTGAGGATTTCTAGCTGGGTTTTTTCATTTCCGCTGTTTTTAGACTCCAATCCCATCCTGTTTGGTTTGGTGACCTCTGGCACACACTGTAAGCAAATCCACCAAAACACAGGCTGCTCCTGGGTTTGTTTCAGTTGTCATATAGCAGTTACCTGCAAAACACTCATTTATTGTCTTTTCATCTCTCTATGCAACCTCAGTGGGTTATTTCGGCCACATATACCAGCTATGCCAGAATTACAGACGCAATCACAGAACTGCAGTTCAGAGGAAAAATAAAAGACAACCCTGGCTCTTCAGGGTTTATTGCTTTTTAATGTGAATTTACAATAAGCTTTCTGGGCTGTTTGCTAATTCTCCAGATGATAATATTATCAATAATCTTTTTTTTTACTCTAAGAAATAATTCTGTTTTGCTCACTGACAATATCTCCGCTTTGCTTTTGTATAGAGCGTCACACATTCAACACAGGAGACTACTTTTCAGTCTGAAGTGGAGGGAGAAGTCTGTAGAGATGCTGTTACACACCTTCCCTTTGAATGTAGTGCCAGAGGAGAAAGCACCTTGCAATTGCACTTACAGCATTATACTGCTATATACTTCTCCCACCATCACCCCCTGCATCCGCTGTACAGAGGGCAACAGACCCCAGAACACGAATTGCTCAGTTTGGCCCCAAAACCCACTTTTCACACATTCAAGAACAAGCAATACCTCTTTAAAATTATTGGACTCTACATAGCATTTATAGACCAGAGATTATGCTCCCTATTCCAAAAGGGCTGCGGAATGCTTTAGGTGGTCATTACTATAAAAATATACTGTATCAAAAGCCACTATACGGCTTTCTAGAAATTTTCTGCTCCATCACAGTGTGGTAGTATGAATTTCATTGTTTTATCTGCTTTCCAGTATGGCATGCACTAAATCTAAGAAACTGCTTGTATGTCTGTTCCTGGCTCCACTCAGCACTATGCCTGATCTCCCCTACTTCCTCCTGTATTTAACAGTGTAGGGTGAAGAGACACATATTAGGAAATACTTCTCCCGTTGCACTACTTTGGATTTGCCTCCTGTTTGCCTGCTTGGCAGGGGGGAATTTCTCTCAAGGACAGTTTTGCACAAGTAGCTAGCTGTATTAAGCTCTGTATTGCTTGAGGACAAAGATACAATATTGAAGCACGAGCTTTGGAGTGAGGATCACTGTGTTAAGTAACCAGAGTTTTTAATGGATGCCTTGAAGGCTCTAAAGCCAGAGAATTGTAAAAGATATAATATTTCAGTTTATATCTCCAACACAACCTGATGCCTTTCACATTCCAAAATAGAAGATATTAGTTGTCTAGTTTACGAGCATCAGTTCTTGGAAGGAGCATGGAAGGTACTTCTGTGCTGCTTTTTTCAATAAACACAGAAAAACAGCGGGGGTAAAACCTGCTACTTCTGTTCATGACCATAATTGCTGTGTCTTCTGTTCCAGCTCATCCTTGCCACGTGGGAAGGAGGCTACAACTTGCAGTGCCAGAACCTCCACAGCGCAGGGGAGGCCGACATCCGGGTGAGAGACAGCAGCAGCTCAGCCCCCAACATCCATGGCAGGCCTTCCCTCCGCGTCCCTGGTGCAACACTTCCACATTCATGGCAGTTACAAGGATGTTGTCGGCAACATCTTTAACATGAGGGTTTTAATCAGGTTGCCTAATAGCTTGTAGAAAACAAGAAGTGATGACTTTTCCGTTCAATACAGATGCATCCTTGCAGTGGAAAGCATAACAGGGAGTATTTTGAAAAGCCGTATGTATGATGTTGTCAAAACAGTGTTGCCCAACTACTAAAACAGAGAACATGGATCACTTAAAAACTTGGAACAAAAATCAATCATATGAAAGGTAACATCTAATCAATCATCTAAAATTTGGGCTGTAGCTGGAAATAGATTTAAGCCAAACTCTAAACTCTGGAAAACTGCAGAGACATTTTTCTGGCTTGACTCATTTCTATTTTCAACCCTTATTCCTGCATCACAGCAATTCTGTGTATTATCCTTCTGTCATTCCCCACATCAGGTTTACTTTCCAGAAAACATTAGAGCTCAAAAGCAGAAAGATTGTTTAACTTAGAGAATTTCCCCCAACTCTCAAAATTTGCCTGTGTTACGGCAAGGAAAAAGTCAGTGAAACACCTTTTCCCATCAACAGGGTATTTTCCCCCTTTCTGTTTTAACTAACTGTCTTTAACCATCCTAGGACATACCCTGAGCCCTGGCAAAGCATCTCAACTCTAGAGGAGGGTATATTCCATTGTATTGAGTGTCAAATTTGGATTATTTAAGATGAAGAAGCTGCCAGTAAAACCTATTCAGTGCCAAGAAAATATAAGTGGTAGCACCCTTAAAAAAACAACAAAAAACCCCAACAAAAAAACCCAACAAAAAACCAACACGCAAATGTATCATTGAAGAAAAAATAGAACAATTAGAAAACCCTTCCTCAAAGTTTCTGTTTCTTAAATTATATTTAGATAGTTATATTTATACAATCATACAAAAAGTTACAGGGTTTTTTTTCCAAACTGCCTCATTTAAAGGGGAAATAAAACTGAAGCCAGAGCTTGTGCTCCTCCTTCAATAGAACATTAATGCCTTTTGGGAAGTTGCATGCCTAGGGACTGATGAAGTACAGCAATACTTAAGCCCTTTTATGGACAGATATTGATGTCCTGCTCCTTTGTTCTTGCTTGTACAGGTAGCCAAGGTGCTGTGGTGGTATTATTTTTCCAAAGTAATTGAATTCATGGACACTATCTTCTTTGTACTGAGAAAGAAAAGCAGCCAGATCACCTTCCTTCATGTGTATCACCATGCCACTATGTTTAACATTTGGTGGTGCGTTCTGAACTGGATACCTTGTGGGCAAAGTAAGTCTGTGTTCACTTCACCACCCGGGGTATAAGTCACCTGCTGCTGGAGGGGAATCACATCACCAGGCAAAGCAAGTGTGTCAGTGCGCTGTACAGTAGCACCTTTAAGGTTCATAGCCTTTCAGAACTGCTGAACACCAGCAGACCACAGTAAAAAAGCATGGTTAAGAGTTCAGGTGAAAAATACCTGAGTGTTTTTCACTCAGCTACCACAGCCTCTCATATCTACTTCTTTTCAAACTGCTTTTAGGCAGGATAACACCACTGAGTGGTACACAAGAGCAATCACGCACAAGACCTACCCCAAAAGCAGATGTAGGAGAGAATCATGGGTTTGACATATTCCACAACAGTAATCTCTAAACAACTTGGCTCTTAGGAGGATATTGCAATTGTCATCATCTCCCCTGCTGATATGGGGAAGATGTACAGTGCCACAGGCTGGTCACTTGCCATTTGTGTACTAAGTCCAAGCAGCAGAGAACTACTTCAGGTGTCTCACAACGTGCACTTTTCCAGGGCTTCACACAGCCAGAAGCTCCCTGTGGCATTGTTATGAGAGTTAAGACAATCCAGTTCTCTTACTTTAAGCTATCAAATTGAGTCACTTCAGTCCACTCTATATTTTGTAAAGCAGTTTGTTGCAAGTGTTTTTCAGAACAAAAAGCAGAATTCATATTTGTTGGCTATTATTATGGACAGCCCCAAATCAAAGTAAATCAGTGTTACAGGTAGAAGCAGAGATCAAGGATTTCATAGCAATTACAAGTTATTTCTACAGAGGTGTAAACAAATTCAGGGTTTTATGCTTTCTATTGTGTCTGAACATATTCCCCACACTTTACACTAACTTTGCACTACTATAATTAACAAAGTGAAAAAGTCAGTATATTTAAGTAATTAATCAGTAATTATTAATTAATCAGTGGAAAAATCAAACCAATTGGTGAGACCATCCTGTAGCTATCAAGCACTGCCATGAACCACACGAGCCTACAGCAAATAGTGCTGCTACTTCTCAATAGTCTGTAAGGTACAGAGGGCAATTAGTTTGCTCTAGAATCGGTATTTACTAAGTGTAGCTAATTAGAGTGGCAAGGTATTATATCTGTGGTGAAATTCGGGAAATCTGCATCTAGCAGAAGAACTGCTGAAGAAAATGAGAGTGATGCTCAAGCGCAGCCACATGAGGCTAGTTTAATTCAGAGTAAAGCCCTTACTACTGCATCAGGGAGCAGCGCAGTCACCCACAGTGGGGTTTAAAGCTTACAACAATGATGGAGAGATTCATGCAAAGAAAAGTGTTTAGGAGGGAAACAAAAACAATAACCCGTAAACTACTGAATAGAAAAGGAAAGTGGAGAAAATTAAAAATATGGGATGAAAATACAGTATTCAGTGTAAGAAAAATCCTATAGGAAGTATCAATAAGTTCATCAGTTGTCCCTAGGACAGCATTTCTTCACATCAGAAATGTCTTTAGGAAAGGATAAGCATGAAGGGAAGACTTACCATCTGTAAGAGACATCGCTAGCAATAATATCTTCTCTCGCTTTTTAGCAGCTGGTATATAAAAATGTTTTCCTTTGTGGATTTTTATAGGTTTCTTTGGACCCACTTTGAATAGCTTTATCCATGTGCTTATGTATTCTTACTATGGACTGTCAGTCATCCCTTCTATGCGCAAGTATCTCTGGTGGAAGAAATACCTCACTCAGGCACAATTGGTATGTATCTAGTTTACTCATTTTTAACTACCAGAAATCCTTCAAAATGTCAGAAAGGTCAAAATAAATTACAAACATTGTCATTTGCAGAATTAAGCCAGTTAGAATTCAAATACAACAAAGCTATCATACAGAATATGTCACTAGTGCAGCCTAGTATAACTTAGTAAAGGAAATGATGCACAGAAATATTTTTTACAATAGAGTAGAAACTCTACAGTCCATAAAATTCCATTATTTTTCATCCCTTGCATAAAAAAAATAAATGCTCCTAAATCATGACAAATGGACTGATTAAAAAATTATTAAAACTGCCTGACAGAGCCAGCTCCAGTCAGCTCCAAAATCTGGCATGACAGTCTGGAAGACAGAATCACCTTTATTAAAAAAAAAAAAAAAAAAAAAAAAAAGCACTTTCATTTTGTCACCTAGGTTTATAAACTCATATTTTTTTAGAAATCTCTGGTCCCTTAGGTTTTATTTTATTTCATAAGATCGCCATTTTAACTTAACCCTCAGTACTTTCACAGGTTCAGAAAGGGATATTTTTCAAGAGTACTCAAACTTTCAAAGAGCAGGGCTAGATGACATTGTTATATCTGATTTAGCCAGCACTGACCCTTCCTTAGCAAATACTCATGCATGATCTTTCCTCCACAGATCCAGTTTCTGCTCACTATTGTGCACACACTCAGCGCCGTTGTGAAGCCATGTGGATTCCCATTTGGCTGCCTCATGTTCCAGTCCTCCTACATGGCCACACTGGTCATTCTCTTCATAAATTTCTACGTTAAGGTAAGCAGTCTTCCAAGACCTCTCAAATGAGCATGGGGAAAAAAACCAAAAACAAAACCAAAAACTTTTTGGGTAGCAGTCTTGATGAACTCACATACAGAATGAGCATCAGTACTTAAAATATGTTTGTATTAAAACATTCACGCCATTAAGAGCAATAGATTCAGCAATATCTGCAAGAGACAGTTATTCAGTAATGATGACCTCCCCATTGCAGCTTAGCCCATCTGCACTTGTATAGCAAGTCAGGTACCACATGCAGGACTTGGTCTGAATTTGGTGTTGGGCAAATTTGAGTCTTCCTCCCTCCTTGGGAAAAAAACAAATTAAACAAGCAGCTCTGTCTTTGAATTATTTCAACCTTTTTTAGCACGGACTGCTGCAGCCTGCCTGTGTACTTAGAGCTTCTAGTGAAAAGGGCTTAAAATCTCTTTTGACATCAAGAAGTATTACAGTAATACTAGCAAGGTAATAGCACCCGCAGCAGTAGAAATAATACAGTTCCCTTAACGCAGTCTGAAGGGGATATATGTGTCTGCATCAAACACACACCAGACAGCTCCGTTTTACAGTTAACCACAAGTAGTGTTTGGGGGGCACTAAATAAATCCAAGTATTTACTTTAGATTTTGCTTTTATAGACATACCGGAAAGCACCTTCAAGAACAGCTATAAAGGAAACCCCTGTCACAACAGAAATCAAGAACGGTTTCCATAAGGACTACTTTGCTGCTGCCAATGGATTCCTGAACAATAAGAAAGCACAATAAGTCTAGTATTTCCTATGATTCTGTTTTCTAAAAAAAAAAAAAAAAAAAAAAGAAAAAAGACTGAATTACAAGGTTTAGGTTAAAACCTATTTGATTACATTTATCAGTTCTTTGTACCAGACACTTATTAATGCATTCTATGTAGGTTTTAACAAAACAAGTAAATTGTCCTGTCAAAGATCACCATCAGAACAAAGGCGGCCAATATCTTTCTCATATGAAAAAGAAAATCTTTCTGATTCTAATGCTGACACAAAAACGCCTTATAAAACACTTGATGGGTAAATTTATCAATGCCTTCAAAAGGTTAGGACTCTGTTCGGACTAACATGGTGAGCACGTTCTGTGCACGTGAGAGTATTGAGGCAAAGCTTCACAATGCACCCAACACATTCAGCTAAATTGTGGCCAAGGTCAGAAAAAGGAAAGGGGAAAAAAAAAAAAAAAAAAGGTGAGAATCATACCTTTTCCATCGCCATACCCCTCTCTGCTTCTTCCCACCCATTCCCAAAAGCACACTCCCTCCCACGGACACCAGTGAGGTGCAGCCATCCCTTTGGTCCTGTGGGAGCCCTGGGGAAGGACGTAACAGAGTGCAGAGCCCAGGTGCACCATCCCGTAGCTTTCAGACAGACAGACATGCGCTGTGCTCACTTGCTCTATGTATGTGCAATCTGACTTAAATGCCATGATGGCTGGCAGGAGATTGCTGTTTCAGGGGGCTGGACTGGTAGCACCTGGGACTGCCCAGTATGGTACTTCGAATACATGGTATCACAAGATGATAGGGGGTTTTGAGCTCTAGTCAGAGCAAAACAAGTCACTTTGGATGTGCTAAATTAATACAAGTTCTGAGTAAACAGATTTGGAAAGAAATAGGAGCTTGACAACTTAATGAGGATAATTCCTTTCAGTGTAAATGTGCACAAAGTTAATCCTATACAAATACTACTAATTTGAAGCAAACTGACATGCCACTTTATTAATCGACTGGGAGATGCAGAAAATCTTAGAAGTGAATTCAGCAATGAGCAAAGCACATTATGTAGGAATTGCTTTGCTAGGTGGGCCTTATTCAGACTGATCTCCAACTGAAGAAACAAATGGGACTGAGGCACAACCCTCTGTAGGGTATATAAGGAGACATTTGCTGTTTGCAGCTGTAATGGTCTGTGTCTCTCAGTGTCAGCCACTATCTTCTCTGCTTCAGTTAGCTGCATTTACCTCCCGCTTCAACAGGAATGAATAATACCCAAGGTTAGCTTTGAGGATCTGCCCTCACCCTTTTCTCATTTAGCCCGCTTCAAAATCTCTGCTAAAAGTGGGCACAGCCTTTTTTTCTCTCCCCTTTTCACAATGAAGTAGTTCTGTTCTCTTCCAATCTCGTGTGTATAAATTCTCTCAATAAAAACACCTTTTGGAGTTGCCCCAGCCCAGCAAGCCCCCAGCCCAAAGCAGTTCTGTAAAGGGACCATGTCCTCTCCCTCCTATCACCCTGTAGGGTCCCAGGGCAGGAAAGGCACAAACCACGAGTGCAGCCAGCACTGAAAGCCCAAGCATCTGCAGAGGGCCCACATGGAGAGCAGGCTGTACCAAATCACAGAATAGTAGGGCATGGAAGGGACCTCTAAAGATCATCTAGTCCAACTCCCTGCTAAAGCAGGTTCACCTAGAGCAGTCCAGATGGGTTTTGAATATCCCCAGAGAAGGAGAATCCACAGCCTCCCTGGGCAGCCCCTTCCAGTGCTCTGTCACCCTCAAAGTACAGAAGATTTTCCTCATGTTCAGGTGGAACTTTCTGTGCTCCAGTTTGTGCCCGTTGCCCCTTGTCCTGTCACTGGGCACTACTGAAAAGAGCCTGGCCCCATCCTCTTTAGATAGTTAGTAGCATTGATAAGATCCCATCTTAGTCTTGTCTTCTCCAGGCTAAAGAGCCCCAGGTCTCTCAGCCTTTCCTTGTAGGAGAGATGCTCCAGTCCCCTAACAATCCTCACAGCCCTCCATTGGACTCTCCAGTAGTTCCCTGTCCCTCTTGGACTGGGAAGTCCAGAGCTGGACACAGCACTCCAGATGTGGCCTCACTAGGGCCAAGTAGAGGGGGAGGAGAACCTACCTCGACCTGCTGGCCACACTCTTCATGCACCCCAGGGTACCATTGGCCTTCTTGGCCACAGCGGCACATTGCCGGCTCGTGGTTAACTTGTCTCCCAGGTCTGCAGAGCTGCTCTCCAGCAGGTCAACCTGCAGCCTGTCCTGTTCCTACTCCCCCAATTCTCCTCCACCTCCAGGGTCAGTTGATGATCTGCCATCAGGGGTTCTGGGAGATTACAGGTACAAAGGCAGGAAGGTTTGACCCAGGGAGCTGTGCAGGGCATCCAGCCTTGCTAGGAGCAGCCCAAGAGACTGCAGCCCCAAGGGCTTGTGGATAGGACAGGAAGGGGCTGAGGAAGTGGTACAGCAAAAGCAAGAGGAGAAAGTGGCACAGAGAAGGGTATCTCAGGTCAGACTTCAGTTTAAATTTGTACTTGAATGTCTAATAGATCCCATCTGTCTCCAGCCAGTTCCTACTCCCTTGCAACATGTACAAAACCTTTCAGCAGAAAACTGAAAACCCCAAAATGCTGCAGCACAAGCAGTACATTTGCACAGCCTGGCTGCTGAACTGCATCATCATGAACTAGGTAACCAGAATAACTGCAATATTCAAACACTTTTACACCACCACAGACATACATCTAACTGGTGCATATTCACATTTGCTTCCTCTTCATGAGGCTGACCACTGTGCAAGTCAGTGTTTTGCTTCATTTAACATTCAATAAGGAGGGAAGGCAGCAACCAAAAAAACCACAACCCCACAGTCACTAAGCCTGGATGCTGTGTACATATACTAGTTCTCACTGGCCCTTCCAGAACCTTTGCTTTGCAGATCTGTCTGGTTAATACTGTAAAATGTGCAAGTTGTAAGAAATTATTGGGTTTGGCTGAAGGTGTTGCACATGGCTCTAAGTAAAGGGAGAGCTTCAGAGCTTTGCAGATGCCAGCTTGATACTGGAAACTGGGGTAAAGGCAGAAGGAATCAGAAGAGCTGATGAGACAGCACACAAGGCAACTAGCTGAACCATTCGTCTCAGGCAAGCAACAAAACAGTTGCATAGCCCAGCATAGATTTTAGGCCGAGTGGAGCCCATAACATTTTGATGGCAAAGCATGCATTTGACTATGAAGGTGGACAGCGTCAGCATGCTAAGTTTACTATGACAACCAAACCCACATATATTATCTTTTGTTTTGTTGAAGCTTCATTCAAAAGAAAAAGAAATAAATGCCTTACTTAAAACTCAGGGGGGGGGGGGGGGGTTTTGAAGAAAACAAAAGTCTCAGCTTGCAGATCCAGACTGGCCAGAAAGGCTGGAATCAGGTATGTTTAATATTCTTCAGATCTGTCTTAACATCTTCAAAATGCTGCAACTTTGAAGAAGGAGAAGCATGGACTTTTTAAATTGATTTTCCTGTAATGTTTAACACTGTAAATAAACAAATTTTACTATCAGACTGTCTCCACTTCTTTTTAAAGCATCAGGTTGCAAAGGCATCCTCAACATCCATCTCCAGCCACAAGATGAAACCTAGAAATCATTTAGATACTGAAAGGGAAAACATTAAAGCAGGGATGCTCCATGACTTATGTGCGTACTCACAAATGGGCAACAAGTCCATTGTTTTTATGGTGGTCGAATTGCAAGAGAAGCAAATCTCAAACAGCTACAGCAGTTCTGAGTGCTGCTGTAAAGCTCTGTACTGGATGTTCACATGCAGAGATGGTGTCTAGCACCACAGGTGGAGTAATAGCAAGTTGATATTACTCTTAAAGAGAGACAAGACTTGTAACAGCTGATGGTGGCAAAGACCATCCCATCTAAACATACAGGCTGAGTAGGGATTCTGGCAACTGTGTGTTCACAGGGCACTTTGAGCCACATCCTTAGAAAGCAGCAGTCTCTCTGCATTTGACTTCTTTGCAAGGGCTGCAAGTCCTTAAATAGTTGTGTGGTTTTTCTCTCCTCCCATACATACTCTCTCTTGTGCTATGTTTAGAAGAAAATTCCACATCCTATCAGCTCAAAATTAAGTTTGTCAGGCATGTTTTCACTCATTAGCATGCTTGGACTGCTATGGGGAGTAGAAGAGGAGGAAGCACCTCATTCAGCCCAACAGGCAAAACTAGAACTGCTCAACTGCCTGCATTTGCCAGGGAAAATTTGTTGTATGGGAAAAAACCCAACATCATCATGTTTTACCAAGCTCATCTTCTAGCAATACTCAAAAAATGAGGCAGTACCAGTCACATTTCTGATGTGCTTTCATGGCATTGCCATTCCTCTGAATGGGCACAAAAAGAGCTTTATGCTGCCAGCAGCTCCTCTGTCTCACAGAACACCAGTGCCTAGGAAAGGTGCTCAAACCCACAGCAAGCCTGAAGACTCTAGTAAATTAGTCCCTTGGTTAGATGTCAGCATCAGCCAAGCAGAGATCATGGATTGATAAAAGGACCAGTTACCGCAGCTTTAAGCTTCCTTCAGCCACCAATATCCAACATGAAACACCAAGTCCTGCAGCACTTAGTACCCTTGTAACTGAAAGCTGAAGCAGCCAAGATTCAAAAATAGTTCCAATTCATTTATTGTGAAATAAGATACTCGTAAAATATCTCTACCACCATAGTGGGCTCCATGGTACAATTGCTTCTTCAGGTGAGGCAGGCTGCTATCTAGCAGTTTTGTAATACTGCGATATCGGAAGCTGAGTCACAAGAAGAGTATCTCCACAGTCTCGTGCCTAACTAGTTAGCACTACAGAAGGAGTCATGATTGTTAATAACAAGGGCTGTTCACAAGTTACTGGACTTTAGGGGACCTATGTTTAACTAACACTCCCCACCACCTCCGGCCAGTTTGCAGTTTCTAGACTTAGATATGATGCCCATTGAGATGCTACACATGGCATCTCTGACTTAATTTGAAACTGGACTGAACTAC